GTGATTGACCTAAAGAGTCTTGATTTTTTACGTAAATTCTTTTTTTTTTAAGATGAATTCTTTTTGTCATATTTTAGGGGTTTGGCAACTGTACAATAGCTTTTGCTTGGGTTTATATGCCTTTGGGAAAGTTAAGAACCACTGGATTAAATTTATCAAGAGCCAGGCAACCTTACACCTCCTTACATTACAATATATCATCAACTGGGTTTTGATACAGTGGGTCGAGCTTTATAACCAGAATGCTGTTTAAAACTTCTACTGATTACAATTAAAGGTGAGACTTCATCAAATATAACATAATCAATGACTGTGAGTGGGTGCAAAACAAACCTTCAAAATAGACTTCTTTTCACTTATTGGCGTAATGAGTGCTGGTAAGGAATGGTGACACATAAAGCTATATACGCACACCCCAAACAACTGAGGGAGCTTGGTGATATCGGCCGCAGGGGGGTGACCCTGGTTCTTCCCTTCCGCCAAGAGCACTATGGCCCACGTGATCATGGTGCCCATCGCTGCAAGGCAAGCATGCTCTGGTTATTGGGCAGGCTGTACACTTTTATGTTGATTTCTTTAATTCTTTTTATTTGTGTGTGTGTGGATGTATGTGTAGCTAGATCTTATATATTGGATGCATATCATTCTCAAGTTTGATGTGTTTTGACTTTTATATATGGAAAAAAACTCATACACTCACATACTTATACATATACATGTATGTGCAAACACATTCATACATATACAACTATGTACATACTGACACACACACACACACACACAGATGCACATTCTCTGTTTCTCTTACTATCTCATTCACACTCACCTTTACTCCCACTTTCACTCACCTTCACACTCTCACTTCTTCTCTCACTCAGAAAGACAACAAGAAAATGGAAGTATGTCCTTAATCCTAATCTACGTCAATCACAATTTCAGAGAACTCACTCACCGAGCCACCTTGTGATGGTAGTCAAGATCTGCATGTATTTGGTCTTCGTGAGATTGAAGAAGACAAAGGGACCCATGACCCCAACAAAGCTGAACTGTGAATAAGAAAATCAACAATAGTAAAAAGATTAAGAAGTAGAGAGATTCATAAAAAAAAAAAAAAGATAACATAACCATATAAGACATGGTTACCCTGTTTTTCTCCCTCTGTAAAATTTTCCTCTCAAAACAAATGTGTTCTTATGACAGAAGGTGTGCGCTTTTGTCAAAGTAGTTGCGTGGGTTCAATACCTGACTCCTAAACCAACAGGAAAATAAAAACAGTCCAAGTGACAAACTTTACAATACTTATAAAATATAATATATAAAACACTACATTTCACCTTCTATTCTTCATGACATACATTCCACACAACATTCTTATAGCAAAGCCCTGCTCAACAAATGGTGAAAACGAAGATTAAAAATAAATAAAAATGAACAAAGGACTTAATCAAAAAGGCCCAAAAGCCAGTGAGAACGGAGTAACACTTACAGTACAGATTCTATACATTTCCATTCTGGACATGTGGGATCGACTTGGATTCTTGAAACATGGGTCGGAGTCTAACAGTTCCTTGGTGCAGTTCTCTGGCACGTAGTCGCTGAAAACAGGTCAACAAAAGAATATATGTGTAAACTTGAATGCCAATACCATGTTTATAGAATTAAACAAAAAGAGTTAAAAATCAAATAAAATTTAATTCCTAATTTTCTTTTTTATTTCAAAAACAAACTTGAAATAATTTTCAACAATCTACTATATAAAAATCTACAAGCTGGTTTCATCTGACCAAATCTACTAATGCCCGTGATACATTATCTTAAACAAAGCGTTCTTAATCGTTCTTTCATTTATTATCAAAAGGACCAAACTATCCTCAACTGCTCTATGATCAAAACCTTTCATTCTGCTAACAAAATTTAATTCCACAAAAGAACGAATGAAACCAGATTACAAACTTACCAGATTATGTCTCGCATAGATTTGGCAACTGCCGCTTCATATATGGCAAGATCTCCATACAGGTATACGCAAAGTACGATGTAAAAAACCTTAACCCACACTGGGAAAGAAAAAAACATATTACTCCTTTTGATCATGTAACAAAGTTGGTAGAAGAAGAAGAAAAAGAAGAAGAAGAAGAAGAAGAGGAAAAAAAAAAATATATATATATTATATTTATATATACATATATATATATATTATATTTATATATACATATATATATATATTATATTTATATATACATATATATATATATATATATATATATATATATATATATATATATATATATATATATATATATATATATATATATGAATCTTGTGGAATATTCTTAAGCATATTCATTTAGTCAATCTATTTTTCAAAGCAACTACAGCCATAACCAGTCGCACGTTCCCTAGGAGTGGCAGACAACCAACCTGTAGAATAAAACAATTTGGCCATCTGCCCCATCTCGATTTGCTCCTGGATCGCATAATATTCCCCGACAGTTCTTTC